ATGAAACTCTTGAATATAACTGAAGATGTTTTAGGTGAATGAAAGCTAACACTGATTCACTATCAAGTATATTGTTGGCAATATAATGCTGTTATAGCATTTCGTCCTGATAAATGCGTTTTAAGCAAATGAAGATATCTAAACTTCATAGTCGTTTTGAGTAACTGACTCCTCTGCACTCACATCGAAGTACCCTAAAAATCCCCATTAAGTCATAATAAAGCAAGAGACATCGAGCAAAGAGTTACTTTTCACATTTATGTTTGTACAATAAATAAAGACCTAAGTGATATTGTACATAACTTCAGAAGAGGTAGAAATCGCAAGATTAAGCCGCAACACCTGTGAAGTGTGTGTGTGTAGGAAAAAACTGTAGACAGCAATCAACTGTTTCTCCTAATCTCACATTTTACTAGGATTTGTGTGACATCCCGCGTATCACAAAACGTATATTAAAAAATTACTGAGGAACTGATTGTCCATTCTGTACAATTTAGAAGTTATTCCAACAGCTTCATTTTTATCTTGAAAAATACCCGTCAACTGGTAGTGTGAAGTTTCATAACAGGATAAATTCTATTAAATATATGCAGTAAAAACCTGTTCTAATTCGCACCTAAGCAGTCATTGTCGCATAATCCTAAGCAGTATTATTCACATGAAATATCTAGAGATTGTGACACAAAAATATTGTCATTAAGATAAAAATATGATTTCGCTTCATACAATTTTCCCCCGAACAAAACAGGAACAATAAATTGAGCAGGATAATATGATGTCCTTTTATTTTGTGAGACCTTTTCAACTGCAACAACCTAAACAGATTTAATATCACTATATAAAATATTCATATACTTCAATTAATTAGCTAGTAAATGAAGACCATCAATAATTAAATTTAAGAGTTGAAAGAAAAGAACTAAATGTATCAGTAAGATTGTTGGTATATGATGAAAAAAGTTACAAGAGTACTGTAGAGTCAGGAAGAAAAGTTGAACACTGTTTAGAGTTGGGAAAAAATTAGTGTGAGTTTTTGGTTCAATGGTAGGACATTAAGCAGTCATGCACGTAGTTCAAGTTCGTTTTCTAGATGGTGCACTTTTAAACCTCATCTAGTCTACTAGTTGATAGTGATCCCCTAAAAGAGAGAAGGTCAGACATAAAACTAGTAACTCCACCACTTAAAAACAGCACCAACTTGAAAGCTTGAAGCTTGGAGTAGTATGTTCCACTCCGAACGCAAAAACAATGAAAAAACGGTCCTAACTACTTTCCCGTAGTAGAAAGTCATGAATTTCCCTTGAGTAGAAAGTGAAAGTTTTTATTTAATTTCGATAACACAATTTAATTTTTTTTTTTTTTTTTTTTTTGATTTACAGCTTAATTCCACACTGTAATTGAAGTTAAATGATTAAGCTATTAGATATACCTAATATTGTTTGGTCGTATAAATCTTAGTCAGTAAACAGTAATTCGAACTTGTGTTCCGCATTAAAGTGAGTGAACTGTAGGTTCACTTGAATGAGATATGTGCATACCAACTTTAATAATTAGAAATCCCTAAATGGTATTAAGTATGATTAGACCATTAGAGTCTAGAATTTCCTCCCACTTATCTTTCCGCAAACAGCAACATTAAAATCACCTCTCATTCATCTACTGCATATAATATTTTAAAGTCAAAGGTATAACATCATTACACTTACGGTAGTCAGATATAAAAGGAATAACAAGCCTAAAACTACCTGGTACCGTACTGTACTCATCTAATAATTTTAATAATTTTTTCGTTCACGTTCCCCAGTGGAACATAGGGCTCCAAGATATTAGCTTGAAGTTTCTGTAGCAGTGTTTATTTTATAGGATGGGGTTTCTAGCCTCATGCCCAACCTTTCCTCTTTACCGGCATTGTTACTGGCTCAGCGAGGTAAAGGAGTGCGTCGGCCAGGGATCGAACCCCGGACCATGTGCATGGCCGGCGAGCGTCCTAACCACTATACCACCGACGCCACTGTACTCATCTAAGTAGAATTAACTTAGATTAACCAAACCAAGAAGAAACCGGTGATATTCACAGTTAACACAAATTTACCATGATGGTTTTTATTAATGTACATCACATCTCTCCTACTTCCGGAGATGTTTTTTGTTTCACTCTATTAATTTAACCTAGTACAAACTATTAGTAAGTCAGTCAGCTTGCAATAAAACACAAATGCATCAGAAGAGTTCATATATTTCACTGCTAACAAGTATTTTAATTACTAGGAAGGTACTAGTTATTGTTCTACGTCTATACACTTTATTCATCAACCCTTATGTCTCATCAGTAAGACTTTTATTATTATAATATTATAAATTATGCAACCACATATTAGGCGAATTCAGTCTTGAACATCAAAAAATTTAAGTTGTATGTTTCATGTAATTAATGCACATATGTTAAACAGTAAAGGATGTTGAAAACACGTGTTTGCGATGAGTGTGTACATGAACAATATCAAGAAAAACAAACAGAAAGCAGACAAGGGTCTACATTTTTATGTATATCAACAAAAACATAACGTAAACAGCAACTATTCCTTTTGTTTTTAGGCTTCATTTTGGTAAGATTCAGGTTTAAAGCCTAGTTCAAACTGTCATGTCAAAAAAGTTGGTATCTGTTCCTTCTTAACTAAGAAATAATCAATTATGAATTTATTCTGCTTTAACGGCATTATTCACCGACTCACAATATATATTATGGCTGATAAACTGGCTGGAATCTGGGGAGAAAAAAACGTTCTTAGTGGGCCGATAAAATCACTGGGCTACCTAATTTTTTGTTTATTTATTTTTTATTTATTTTTTTTTATTTTTGTTTACAGCTTGATTCCACACTGTATTTTTGGTACAAGTATGGAATTTTCAGCGTGGATATCGGTAGCCCAAATTTTGCAGGCCGACCATCGATATCCACCAATATGCGGCTTGTTTACTCCGTCCCATATTGTTTCAGTGATCTAGCTACTGTAATAAGACACAATCTGTTCTCCCTAACGATTTCAAATAAGTTTCTGCTGACCACCGAGAATTACTCGGAGGAAATGGGAGAAGAACATTGTGGGGAAGTTCTGGAACAATGTTTCTTCACATGAAGATCCTATACAATGAGTAAATACCTTGGAATGAAACTCAGTGAAAATTCTGTATTGCGTATAAGCGCTTTCTCCAGAACAAGGCTGTTATTATTACTTATACTTCTCGCTTACTAATGGCAACAAGAATGAAACAGGTCCTCCTACCTTATACCTAGGTTACATTGCCACACAATGAGTAACAGTACTATCACAGAACTATACACCTGGTCAAAAAACCGAGGTCACTACTCTCAAGAATAGACAGCTACACTCATTACAGTTTGATATTTAATTCCTAAGGGAACTGAACAGCTTGAACAGAAACAGAACGACACTTCAATCCCAGATAATTTTTGGTTCATTTTATTTTAAAGGTTTTTATCATGGCTTGTTTGAAATCGTAAATAAGTGATAAGTAGCATATTTTATCCTATTTTAATGACTCTCTGATTGTACTATCAACCAGGAAACTGGTTTCGTAGTGCAATTGAATTGTCGTTTAATTTCACTTCAATTTCATTCAGTGTGGAGATAGTGTTTTGTCTGTTCTACTTTGTCTTTATTGAGAACAGAGTCGAATATATATGTGAAAAAAGTGGCGTACGTACAGAGACGTACTAATTAATGCCAGTAAAAGGTTTGTATATTGTGGAATAGATCAAATAAATCATAATTGTATTTCGATAGTTTACATGCATTGATAAGTTTTTGTTTTTGGTAATACTTCGAGCAAAATTATTCCCCGCGATCAAACCACTTGTTGGAATTGCTTTGTTTTTAACACGCTAATTAGCTGTGAGCATTACCTAGTAACTAGTGCAGCGAATACCCCTGTATATTTACTGTTGACTTAAAATACCAATAATGAATACCTACACTGACTGTTCATCAAAACAACAATAAGACAATATTCACAATTGCTTAATTTAATTTAAAGTAGGAATCTAATAAACTATACATTATCATTTTTTAGAGTAATGGTTAACAAGCAGTAGTGTTCCTTTCAATAACTTCATATTTTTCATCTAGATATCCACTTTATACAGCAACAGTAGGCTTTTTTTACACAAAATTGAATCACTAAAACAAAGAATCACGGACTACAAATCATATTCTTATATTAATAACACTGAAATTAATTCTTATAGCAGTGCTTAAATATTGTATACTACTGTGAATAATCCAAGACTGTGTTCACCAGATTGCTCTGTGAAATAGTGAAGGTATAGCAGACTAGCATGCTAGTGTTGAAAGACCTAATACACAGACTTAAAACTAATTAATCCGTGTCTATTTATCGACAATCATTTTGGAGCCTCATGAAATAATGCGAGCTGACTTTCTGTGCTCTTTGTGTTTAGAATAGCAAATATCTAGTTGAAAAATTAAAAAGGATTAGCTGTCGATAGTATCACGCAACTGTGAAAGAAATGCTGTTAAGGTATGACGCAGTATTGCATTAAAAATTTAACTTATTAAAAACTCTTTATTGATTTCAGATGTCTCTTACCACTTGTTCGATCTTTGTGGGACCCAGTTTACGTACGGTTTTATGGCTCCTTTTTGGAAGCGTTAACATTTTTCACGCATTTTAGATGCATGTGGTAGAAGGTGGTAGTCAGCTAGTATTGAGATTATTTCGTCTTTTATTTCACTATTTATGTTGTATACTGTATAAAACTTCGTTGTGAGACCTACTGCAGACATAAATAGAATTATTAGCTAAATAATGTCAAACACACCGTTTGTAACTTATGAATAGGTCATAGTTACTTTACTCTGATAGCTACACCTAAGGAGAATAAGGTTTATATGTAAAGTTTTTGTTCCTGAATGTGTGATACAAATCCAGTTTTCAAATGGATCATGAATTTCATAAAGGTTGTATAAAGCCTAAATCAAAAAACTCACGTTACATACACAATAAAAAACTGTTAGCCATATACTATACTAGGAAGTCATGCAAAAACTTTACACCACACATCTAGGAAACAGTTAAATACTCTCCAATTTCACCTGGTTCCATAAGACATTTAATAGGTTTTGCATAAGCACATTCATAATTAATTAATCTTCCTGAAATATGTGATTCACTTGAATCATTCACGAAAATTGTGAAATCACATCAACTTCTAGGCGGAAATTTTCGCCCACCATATGCAGTGTTTTATGTTTACCACTTTATTTTCAGACAAATGTGATACAACAAAGAATTTAAAGAAATAAACTGCACAAAGTAATTCAACAGTATTATTGAATGAAATCAAGATAAATAATAACGGAATCTGTGAAGGCATACCGCTGCTTTTTTTATAAAATTCTCACAGATTAACTGTCAAGTTTTGAGAAAGAACAAGGAAACTTCAGCATTATCGCCAACAGTTTTCGTTTTGAATCATGCCTGCTGATTTCTCAAGCTGTTCGGTCGCTGATTCTCTTCAGACTTTGCACAGAAAGTCAGAATGCAGAAAATCAAAATGAGGCACTCATTTACTACAAATGTAACTGCTTTTTGATTAGAAATACAGGAAATCAGCTTACGGTACTGACGCTTAATGTACCTCGAAGTCACAGAAGCTGATAATTTAAAATAACCTGGGTAGCTGAGGTTTAACCTTCAACCATCTGGATTACACGCGACTAAGTATTAATATCCGCTTCGAACATAAACAGTGAGACAAAGATAATTGAGACAGGTTAAATAGATTAAATATTTTCATCATTGGGCAGGAATGCTCGTAAAGACGAGTTATGTAACCACATTGAATTCACTATAGTACTGTCGTTCAACATACGTAGATATCTCCCTCGAGTTTTCGCTAAATAACAGCTTAGAACAGACACTAGACTTCTGCATCCATGACTTTAATCCTGCAGATTAAACAGTGGTTAGCTTCCAATTAATTGTGCCAGTGAGAACTTAACACTTTTGAGGTAATTTTATTCAGGATCAATCAGTTATATCCCCGTATCAGTACATAACACAGAGTAGTTACTGCACGAAGTTTAAAAATAAATATTTATAATGTTATTTTTGGATTTATTTTTTGTTACTGAACAAAGCACAATTACGTTTCCGTTTGTTCTTTACAAAAAGGGGTTAAGAAGTATAATCATTCTTGCACTTATTTAATTTAATTTATACCAGTGTTATAAGTGATAACAGAAGCAGAAATGACGCTTCATTACCGTGCAAAATAGTATTATAGTGTTTACTGAATATGCTCGTAAAACTGTACATGTAAGCAGTCACTTTCTTTAACACCACTTTTAAACAAAATCATCAAGCATGCTGTGACCATAATTTATGTGAAAAAGAAAAGCTTTGAGGAAAAACAACTTGTACAGAAGTATAGTAATGGACAAGGAAATATTTTCACCATATCTTTACTATTACTTGTTCGTGACATGCACAAGTAGTAATAGCGAAAATGAAATAATTATGTTTATGTATATTTGTATTAGCATGCAAGTAATTCTTAATCCAGGTATATAGAATATATAGAATCTTCCGCAGTTGCTGCCAATAATAGTGCATTAATACTCTTGTTTGTACTACCTAGTGGAATGTATTTTATAGGATATGACATTGTTCCATGATATACATGGAGTAAAGGTAAAGGCGATTTTATTAAGTTGTTCATATTTAAACATTCATTTATCCTTTGACATTATCATTAAATTCTTCAACCAGTAGCTTCTCTACTGTGAATACTATTATTAGTAATACCGCTACTGCCACAACTGCTGTTTTGTCCACTGCATATACTGTTGCCACATTCGCTTTGATTACTGCAATTTCTTAATAAACATAAATTTTGTTGTTCATCCGTTTCTACTGTATTCGAGGGATATGTATGTCTAACCATTTTTGATAGATGAACACTGATTGATGTAGTATGATACCTTGAATCATTGGACACACTACCACTTGAAGTGTTGTCTGGATACATATTAGGAGCATTATTATTAATACAACTTTGACTTGTCTGTAGCTGACTTGGATGAAGGTGTGAATGATCACTGTTGAATGTAGGTGATACATACTCTGAATCATTGTAGACTCCACTTGCATGAAGATAATTCCGCTGAGAATGATGTTGAGTGGAAAGTGATAGAGAAGGATAAGGTATATTTATTGCCGTTGTAGTGTTATGCATATGCAGATTATTTGAAATCACTGATGACCATTGGTCAGTCAAAGACATGGTTGCTGATACACCGTCGTCAGAAGAAGAAGAAGCAATTGGACAGTTAGATGAATTATTAGATGTAAAATTTGTTGAATCAGGTGAACAGAGTGGTTTTAGACTTTGTGTCATCGTTTGAAATGCATTAGGAAATAATGATGATGTTCGCAATGACAAATTACGACTAGACAAAGGATTTTGACAACCACTGTTATTACTTTTAGTAGTTGTGTTAACATTTATCATGAGATTATTATTTTTATTATCGAAATTAGTATGGCTTCTACCCAGGCCAGTATTTGGAGATCGTGATTCAATTAATCGTTGTTTCATACCTGGTAAATGATGCTCTTTTTTCCATTTCATGCGACGATTTTGAAACCATATTTTAATTTGCCTCTCAGACAATGTCAAGGTGTGGGCTATCTCTAATCGTCTTTTCCGAGTTAAATATTTATTGTAGTGGAATTCCTTTTCCAGTTCTAATATCTGTTGACGTGTGTATGCGGTGCGTGTGCGTTTTGGGTCGTTCGGTTGAGTTATGTAGTAGATATCGTCCATTTCGTCTAAGGAAGAAGAAGATGAAGGGTCTGTGATACATTTAGATGACTTGATTAGGTCTGTAGATAATTCCATCAGGTGTCCATGTTGTTTATGGCAACGTTCATGATTACTTTCTATCCAGCTAACTAGACCTGCTGTATTTTCCTGTGGAGCAGTTGTTGCTCCCACTGTCTGTCCTTGAGAGAGTGAAGATGGAGGGGAAAATGGTTCATTCAAACCAAATTGATCAGTACCACTGAGTTTCACACTAGATTTCAGCTCAGTGTGTTTAAAATGTCCTGTATGATGCTGATGACACTGTACCACTTCACTGGTTTCTAAGTGTTGAACTGGATTTACTGGTGTAGGCTGTTTTTTAACCTGATGCTTTGTAGTCATAGACCTCCCGGTGGTTTGTTTAGAAGCTGCAAAGGTATTTTAAAAGTAAAATGAAGATAATTAATCATCGAATGGACCCATTAACGTAAAAATGCATTAAAGTATTCCAAACAGTTTATATATATATATATATATATCGGTAGTGAGAACTTCAAGTGAATTTTCTCAAGACTATTGTTTGTACAAATGGTAGTGTTAGAAACAACAGAAAATGGGTAAATTCATTCGAGATCTTACTTCACATTGTCATGAAAACTAATAAGATGTGCCCTGAGAATATTTGTTTTTCACACCCTACTTTTAGTAAATATTCACCTTAATAACAAGTATTACGAATTTCAGCTTGGCATTCACTTAGATTACATTAATTAATTAATTTAATTCATTGTATAAGCAAATTATTTGCTTTACATAAATGACGGGTCTTATGAATTCTATAATTACACATTACACAAGCTGTAACGAATAAAATTGTATCACAAATTCTTTTATATTTCCTTTGTGGTGATAATTAATGTGTCACCGATTCTGTGAAGAATACTTACCAATAATACACATGGTGCAGTGAAGATACTTATCTGGCACAGCCCTAAACCCTGTCTGGTTCACTAGTCGCTAATAAGACCGGAAAAGAGGAAAGGTTGGACATAAAGCTGACAACCCCACCCGGTAGAAGTACACAATATCACCGCTACTGAAACTTTAAAGCCTGAAGCCTTATGTTCCACTCCGCACTGACAGGAATGAAATAAAAGAATATAATCAGAATCCAGGACCACAAATCAGCTGTGAAAAGACATGATATATATTCTTTCATATCGATGAATGTAGATAATTATGGTCATCAGTTTGATTGGGATTATGTCGGAATTTTAAACAGACGAAACACCAAAAGTGCGAAAGAATTTCTAGAATCCTAGTACTCAAACGAATATGCGGTTAACAAACATGTTAATATAGACCAAATTTACCAACTAATAAAAAGTAAGTAGAAACACAATTTTTTGTTCAGCAAAGAAATTTCTTTTCAACGACTTCATTTTCAAGCTGTACAGTCGTATTTATATTACAAAAAAGGTTATTAAATGGCACTAAATAACTGCTCAGTCAATATACATATATGTGTGATAAGAATAACGATAATTAAAATGTTATAAGGGTTGAGTTGAAGTGCATAAATTAAGGACCCATTGACAGTAAAGGGACTTAGTGAGTTTCTACGATATTCTGTCAAGCTTGCGGAAGCGAATATTAATTCTGATACTCTCAAAAGCTGTATTAAGAATGGAGAATATCCAAAATTTTACTGGAAAATTTTACGCCGTAATTATATTTATCCAAACGGTCGAACTCTTAAACGTCATGCGTTGAACCTGATCGATGCCATACAAAAACGTGTTCCGGAACTTGAGAATAATGTGTCTCAACGTATGCATTTCTTGTTTGAACTAAGAGAGACAGACTGTTCGAGGATTATATTTCTGACTTTATAAAGAAAAGATCTGAAGATGTTAGATAAATATACTTTAAGTTTCCGGATTCGCCAGAGAAATGCGTTTTTAACTATTCTAATATATATTTGTCGGATATTCAAATGCAAATCCTATCTCTTGGTATGAAGTTCTCGACTTTTTCGTCCAGAGTTAACGAATTAGACACAAAAGTTCAGTTTGAAAATCTCATGAATCAAACACATGACTTGAGTCCAACGTCTAGCGAACACATTGAACAATTTAAATCTGTATTACTTCATTGTTATTACCAGTACCAGAGAATGCAAGGCAGACAACGACAAATGTTATCAAAAGAACACAAAAGACAACTTAATGAATTGCTGAACAACAAAAACGTAATACTGATTCGTCCAGACAAAGGATCAGGTATCGTTATTCTTAATCGTCATGACTACGTCAATAAATTATGTGCCATCCTGAGTGATGAAGAAAAATTTCAAAAATCACCTGATCAAAAAGACAAGACGGAGAATATTGAGAAGGAATTATCAAAAACTTTGACGAAATTGAAGCAAGAATGCATCATTACCCCATATATGTATAAACAGCTTAAACCATCTGGTTCAACTATCCCTCGTTTATATGGTCTTCCAAAGGTGCAGGTGGACAAAGATGATGTCCCTCTGCGACCTGTATTGGATATGCTGAATTCACCGTATCACTCTACCGCTAAACAGCTTGCGGAAATTCTGGAACCAGTTAGATTAAATCTATATAAACATAGTCTTTCTGACACTTTTGACTTTGTCAGTTGTGTTGAAGAAATTAATGTGAATGGTAAGCATATGATTTCGTTAGATATTTGTTCATTGTTCACAAATGTACCACTAGTAGACACTATCTGCTATCTATGCGAGTATATTGATTTAAATAGCATGAACATTGGCTTACCAACTGATTATCTTAAACAACTACTATTGAGATGCACACTGAATGTGCAATTTAGATTTAATGATGTCATCTACAATCAAAGGGATGGAGTCGCCATGGGGTCTCCTTTAGGACCGCTCTTAGCGGACGTTTTCATGGCAAGCTTAGAGAATGGCCCACTAAAGGAAACCATCGATAGTTTGTTTATGTATAAAAGATGTATTGATGATACCTTCATTGTATGTGATGAAAACACTTCAACTGACGAACTTCTTAGAATATTTAATGGTTCTCACCCATCTTTGCTTTTCACGATCGAAGAAGAGTCGAACTCCTCGTTTCATTTCCTTGATGTTAAGCTAGATAGAAGAGAGAATGGAACGCTGCTAAGGTCGATTTACCGAAAGCCAACATTCACTGGGCAGTACACTAACTTCAACAGTTGGGTACCTTTAGGGAGAAAGAGAAATCTTATTCATTCCTTATGCTCCAGAATTCGTAAAATCTGCTCTGCAGAGACAATCGATAGGGAACTAGATAACCTTCGATCAAATCTCCTTAACAATGGTTATCCTACAAGGTTCATTGAACGTAACATCAAGAAAGAATCCGCCCCTAGACAAATCACAGTACCAAAGAAAAAGCTGTTTATGAGTCTTGCATTCAAAGGTGACACCATTTCAGAATTGATTAAAAATCGTTTATCTAAATGTGTTAAACGCACTTTTCCTGCAGCTGACCTGCAAATAGTTTTTACCAGCCGAAATATGATCAAACAATGCGTCAAGGATAGATTACCGCTTTTGTCCACATCTATGTGCATTTACTCTTTTACTTGCTCTTGTGGAGCTGTTTATATTGGACGTTGTAAGCGTAATCTCCGAAAACGTGTAGCTGAACACTATCCGGTTTGGTTAATGAAAGGCGAACGTAGAACTGCAAAGTCGTCTATTTGTGATCACCTGTTAGAGTCTGGTCATTTAGCCCCACGTGATTCATCTTTCAACGTTATATACATGGCAAAATCGAATCGATCCAAAAGTTTACGTTTTCTTCACTTATGCATAGTCGAAGCTTTAGCTATACATGAACAGAAACCTAAGTTATGTGTTCAAAAGCGTTTTGTCAAACCCCTTTCTTTACCTTGGTCATAGTAATGTTCTTTCCAGTTTTTATTTTATTTTACCACTTGAATTCTTTCCACTTGACTTCACATCTTCATTCTTATCGTAATCGTACTCCTAATTTTTAAAATTTTTAGACAACACTTGACATTTTTGATATCAATTCACTTATAAGACAATCTTTAATATTTCTGTAATTTATCCACTTCAACTCTATCCCTTATAACATTTTAATTATCGTTATTCTTATCACACATATATGTATATTGACTGAGCAATTATTTAGTACCAGTGGCCCAGTGGTCTACGAGCTCGCCTTGTAACCAGAAGGTCCTGGGTTCGAATCCCGGTGGGTGCATACTGCTGAAGAGTCCCAAACTAGGATGAAACAGCTGTCCAGTAGTCCCAGGTCTTCCAGTGATTCTCTAACTGATGTCATCTCATTAAATCCTCCATTTAATAACCTTTTTTTGTAATATAAATACGACTGTACAGCTTGAAAATGAAGTCGTTGAAAAGAAATTTCTTTGCTGAACAAAAAACTGTGTTTTTACTTATGAATAAATGGGTATTTTTCGCAATAAAAAGTAAATCATGTGATCAGGAAGCTTAAAATCCAAGTTAATAAAAATAATCAATACTTATGTACAGACGATTACCGGGAGACGCAATTCGATCACTCATAGAAAATTTCTATCAGTTCAATTTATGTTAAAAACTGCGCTGAAGATGCAGTCCAGAAGGACGACGAAAGCTCCGCAACTAAGCCAGCTAGCTCAGAGAACACTACTAATTGCCAGTCATCCACCTGAGCTACAAATCTTCTCTACTATTTCACAATGAATAAATGTTATTCCTGCTGTTTGCCTTTACTTCTCGTTCTACTAATTAGTATTTGCTAACAAATGCGTATCAACAGTGAAGTACAAGTTAGGTAAAGGAAATAAGTACTCAATAAACATTTCAAACTAAAATTGATAGTGTGGAATCATTTTCCAGTAATAAGCAAATCGAATCAATAACTACTTAATAAGGCCTAACTTTCACAATAAACTGAATATTGGTTAAAAAATGCCCATTAAAATTTTCAAAAAAATGGATACTGAACAAAGAATACTCTTTCCAACAACTTCATCATCAGGCTCTACGGTTATATATACATTGTAGTGAGTGAATGAATTAGTGTTACGAACAAGATTAATGCTGTTTAATAATATCGAATTGATAACATCAATAGACTACAGTTCAATAGCATCAAAATAAAAATAAGCTGAATGTCATAAAAATTAGGGAAGATAATAATACAAATTCATGAATCTATAGTTTCTACTGAAGGCCGGGGCAGTAGTAGCGGCTGGACTTGCTTCTTTTGCACACAAAGCACTGGTTGTTTCACGTGAATTGCGATAGTCTCTGCTGTTTGGAGCATACGGTACTTCGATGTTTTCGGCAATTTATTTGGCAACCGGTAGATAAAACAGAAGGATTCTTCAATTCCGGTTTTGTGGCTGGTTTGCA